CACAGATGCTGCCAGACCTGCTGAGCTTTTCCAGCAACTTCTGTTTTTTTGGTCCTGATTTACAGCATCCACAGTTCTTTCAGTTTTTATTTAGTACTGCCCATCCAGGGGTCCAACTTGTCCACACAAGTTGTTCAGCTACCTAGGAACCAATCTGAAAGTTGACATCAGGCTCATTATCTTTGGCATCCACAACTGGTACAAATGCACAAACCTAATCACCTTGTGTTGCTGGTTAAATCTAACCCAGCATACATCCCGTGGTGCCAGCCCATCTACAGACAGCTTCCCCCGACTACTTGATCAAAGCAGAAATAAAACACATACGATGAGTTTCATTAACTTATTTGCAAAGTGCAGCAATTCCAGAATCCTTGGTTCTTTATAATTATTTTTCCATTTCAGTCCACAATTAAAATTACAGAAAATAAAATGAAACTGTCTTTACAGCAGACAATGGTTTGAATGACCTTCTTCAGAGCTGTAACACTTCTGTGACTGTGATAAGCAGTTTATTTTTTGTTTTCCATATCCATGCTGAAAAGAAAATTCTGGACTTCACACAATTCTAACCAATGTTAAGAGGGATCTTCCCAAAGTGCAGGTATACTGAAAGCAAAGACCATACAAGATAAAGAGTAATGGTTTAAAATATTTGAAGAATCTCACTGACCAGGTGTCTCACTTAGTACTAACCTGCTTGAGCTGCAGATTGCATGGCAGCTGGCAGTGAGCTTGGCACCAGTCCAGCTGGTGGTAGAATGCTGCTCAGATTTAAGCCTGAAGGAGTTATAGCACCAGCATTACTCCCCAGCATAGGATTTGAACCACTCATCAATGTCTGTGCTCCACTAGGGATGGGGTGGGGTGGAGAAGAAACAAATATATTACGCACATGCTTTTCTTTTATTTTGGTGGAAAAAACAAGTATATTATACATATGTTTCTGATTTAATGTAACTATTAGGTCACATCTTTTATCAGCATCAGTTGTAAATAAATGGGTTTAAATAAACATGCTGACTTAGTGTGAAGCTATAGAATGGTGAAATTACAAATCTAATATGGTTATAGGAAATAAATCCCAGCAGGCACAAAGTTAATGTAAATAAATCAAGTAAAAGAACTCATGTAAAGGCTGACCAACAATTTTAAGTGTCATCACAATGTGGGATATTAGTTAACAGGACAAGCAAAAATATTGAAATCTGCAATTAGAACAATTAGAACCATAGAATAACACACCAAGCAAGAAGTAACATTTAATAACATATGACTTAGTTCACACATGGAGTACAAGTGGCTACTTGTAAATCAGTTTAAATTTAAATAAAGCAAGAGGAAGCATTCAGGAAAGGCAACAAAAATATGACCATAAATTTCACATAGGTCTTCAAAATATGGATTTATTTTCATTTATTTGAGCAGCAATTTTGATAGAAACTGTAATTTCAAAATTCTCAAAACAGACTCCAAGCCTTAACAGACCTTTAATAATATCACCAAATAATATTCTTTAACAGCCATGAACCATTGCCACATGTGACATATTATTTAATATGGTTAATAGATTTTTTAAAAAATGTGTCCCGGTATCAATAATAGACTTTAATTACTAAGAAAAAAGTAAATACTAATACATATATTAACAGTAACTGGAAATAAGTTATTGTTTTCCAAACAAATTTTCTTTGTCCATTAAGACTCTGGTCTCTAGTGACTTCTGCAACTATTTGTGATGTTGGAGGTTAGAAAGGCCTGATATATCTCTTTACTTGGATGTGTATTGTTGTGCCAATAATTATTATGAAATTCAAGTGTTTTTAGATAGACATTCAAGTCTGTTCAATGCATAATCATTTATTTAAGTGAAATTAGCTCTATTCTTATTCTACACCATTGGATCAGTTCTGGGTGAGAACAGAGGTTAAAATGTTAAGTCTCTGACAAGAAAATTATTTATTAACATGATTCAAAGGGTAAGTACTTAAAAAATGTTAAAGATGTATAATACACACATAGACAGAGGACAGTACTCAATACTGGAAACACTCCTCCTTGGTCTCCTTTCCCTTCAAGACAAAATGTACTCAAAATATTTTACTTCTGGTGACAATTCCAGTTTTAACATTGATGATAAAATTTCATGGCACTTCTGCAATTTTAATATGCTGACTCAGCAGCAGCATTCATCAATTGGGATGGGGAAAAGGGTTTAACTGATCCAATTACTCAAAAAGCTGATCACTTGGAAAAGTTTTGAATTAGAAAGGGTTAAAGAATAAAGATAAACACATTGAATGGCACAAACTGTATTTGATCAAGTATACAACTCTTTCTTTAAAATAGATTTTCAATGAGTTCAGATGGATCAGTTTTGTTCTTGTAATGCATGAATAGATAATACAAAGATACTTATTTCTTCTTGTTAATACTTTATGCAACTATATTGTTAGAGTTGTAAAAAAAATCAACACTTTGTAGGGTTGTCATCATACTTTGATTGAAGATTTATTTATATACTGCCAATGGAAATAATCACCTTTTAAGAACGCCACAGATATAAATAGAAAATCGCACCATTCTTTTACTGCATGGAATAACATATGAAATACAATTGTCTTTGAGAAGGGAGATATATGGATTATAATATGAAAATCTCATTTCCAATTAAAGGGATAATGGGACTAGGTGAAAGAGATTTTATGGGAAATGCTTCTTAGTAATGAGAATGACTACAGAAGGTAAGCAATTTAATTTCCTTCCACAATCAATACCTTTTTCGCATTTAGGAATCTCACCCAATAGAGGTAACAATTTGAAACCACTTATTTTGAATTATCTGTTAAGTTGAATGCTGATTGAGGAGTGATGTGAAAAGACTTGAATATTTGATTACAAGTACTTGAGATAAGTCATCATTTTCTGAAGACACTGCTACTCTGGAGGAAGAGAACATTTTTCTTACTTATATTAAGCACCTGAAAGAGAACTAAACTGTCAAAACACTAGACAATAATTAAAAATTAAATCCAAATAACGGTTTGTAATAGTACGAAATTGGTTGCAAATATTAAATGCTATGTAAAACAACATTCTTGAACTTAGCCCATGAAATAATTATAGGCTTAAGAGGAAAACCTCAACAGGGCCAAGAAGATTGAATGAAAAATGTCAGTGGATAGGATGAAGAGAATAGGTAGGATGTACGGCTAAAGAAAATTTCAAAGAAAGTGTGGAATGAGGTAACTGAGTGATTTGAAAGAGGTGAAAAAACTGAACATAACTCCACTGGAAACCTGAAATCATTAGAATGTGTAGGAAAACAATCAGGTCAGGTAGAATCTGAAAATATTGGTTGAATTTTCTTGATGACCTGAAATATTAAGTGAATTTTGTTCTCCACAGATGTTTTATGACATGTTGGGGAGCTTTCAAAGTCTGTGTCCCCAGCCAGGGGAAACTGCCTCTCACGAACAATGTCATGTCAAACTCTTCAGAATTTTTTAATGAGGTCACTTTTCATTCTACAAAACTCCAGCTCATATAGGTTTGGTTTACTCAGTCTCTTATCAAAGCACAATCCTATTCTCCCAGGAACTAATCTAGTAGGATCTTTGCTTTATTACCTTGAAGATAGGATATCCTTTCTTAGGTATGGAGACCAAAACTATGCACAGTACTCCACGTGTGGTCTCACCAAAGCCTGTGAAACGGTAGCAAGCCTTCTTTACTCTTGTACTCTAGTCCCCTTGAAAGAAAGGTAAACACGCCATTTGCTTTTCTAATTGTTTACTGTACATGCATAGTTGTGTTCCTTGGACGAATACAGCCAAGTATCTCTCAACATCAACATTTAAGTTTCAAGTCTTTTTAAAATATTTTGCTTTTCTATTCTTATCAAATGAATACGCCTGTCGGTTCTCCACATTATACTCCATCTGTCAACTTGTTTCTCACCCATTTGTCTTTTACTGTTACTTTGTGTCCCCTTCGTAGCTTTCATAACCATCTAGCTTTATATAATCAGCTGGTTTGGGATACAATAATTTCCATCTTTTCACCAAAATCATTAACATAGACTGTAAATAGCTGAGGCCTCAGCACAGATCCTTGCAGCACTCTAGTAATTACAGTTAACTGCCTTGAAAATGCCCTATTAATTCTACTCTGCTTTCTGTCCATTGACAATCTTCAATCCATGTTAATATGTTACTTGCACCTCTATGAGCTCTTTCTTACACTTGGAAAGTTAAACCTTTCCTTATGTTTCTGAAGTCATAAAATCTCTTTAACAAACAAACCAACTGGAATAAACAAGCTTGTGGAAAAAAATTAAAACTCATCATGCAGAACCACTATAAATGCTACGAAGGTACAGCATCAAAGAGGAAGGTGTAATTTTGCTGCCATCTGCCATTATGGCATCGTGTGATATTATTTCACCCCATAATTTGATGGATTTGCTTCTGTGCTACATGAAAGATGCTGAATGTAGTGCCAGAACATGTTGTTATCAGAGTCAGCAACAGCAAAAGTCAATAACATTGAATAAAAGTAAAAATACACTTTGGCCTTATATGATTAATACAACAATTAAAATGTTTTAACAGGGTTAAAAGATGTATAAAATTCTTACCAAACTGAGCCCACTACATTGATGAAGTTGAGACCCGCTGGGTTTGTCATCACCTGGGAGGATGAACTCCCTGTTGTAATGGAAGTTACCATAGTGGAAAGAGGAATGGTCATTACTGGCAAAGCTTGACTGAGAGCCATCTGCTGTTGGGCAAAAGGGGTTAAAAGGGTCTGCGGATTGAGGCCTGATTCTTGTGTAGATGGGGTAGCTGAGGGAGTGGCTGTAGATGCTGGGGTTTGCACATCAGAAGGGTGTGGAGTTGATGAAGGGGTGTTGGTTGGTGTGGGGGTAGATGGCTTGGGAGTCCCAGATCCTGCTCATCAAGAAAACAAAAAGTGCTAGGTTATTACTTTAAAACCGATGTAGAGGTTTTCTGTAAAACTGAGCAAAAAGAAACATTTAACGTTAATGCGAAGGGGAAACAAGTTTACTCAGACAAACAGAAATAGTGACTTGCAATTGTATGTACTACTGTTAGCAGATTTCATGGTCATCTGTAAATTAGAAATCAAGTCACTTTCCACCCATTTAGTTTGAATGATATAATAGTTTAACACTGCAGCTGTAGTATATAAATAGGAAAGCTAGCCTTTGAAGATGTGTTCCACTGCCTAAATAGTTATTGGAAAAGATCAGATATAATTCAATAGCTGCAACTTTAAACCTTTGCCTATATATATCAAAATAGTTAAATATTTAATACATAACGTGACATTACACAATTAAATAGTTTAATATCATATTTTAGCTATACATGGCATGCAGTACAGAGGTGAACTAGTCTTTTACTCAGTTCTAAGTGCAGTAATCTTGTAGTTGTGATACAGATGTGGCAGTTGTCATGCATGCAAAGGAAACAAGTTGTTATATTGCAACTATTGAAAATTTTTAGAGATTGAAAAACAAATTAATATACTTTTAAGTTTGAAGTTAGCTTCTACCAAGGATAAGGATGCACCTTTAATAACAGTTGCACTTGTAGTGTTTTTAGTCTCTCCCAACAAGATTATCTTTGAAGCGTAAGAACTATGCAGTCAAATTTTATCTTGAATCACAGAAATTACTCGTAAAGCTCTACTTTTAAAAAACAACCGGAGGACAGTTTGAGAGTACACAAATTAAAGGTCTGAATAGAAATTTGAATGTACCACGTAAATTATGCTAAGTGAAAGAGAACACACACTATCTTAAGTTTAGTGTTCAAATAAGTTCAATGGGAACTCTATAAATGTTCTTCACATTTAACAAAGTAGGAAATATTTCTTGGTGGGTTTTGCAAGGAGTCAATAATTTGTTCTATATTTTCACAAGCTATGCAGGAGTGTTTGAAACAAGTAATGGAATAAAAATATCTCACAAACTCTAAAGTTATAATCCATCTGTTTAAATAAGACACACAGTCTCAAGGAATTGATGGATGCTACCTTATATTAAGCCATGAGGTTTAGGCTCAAAAACAATGAATTCACTTTTTTACACACTTAAGTAGTTGCTTTGACGTGCTGTATCCAGGAATGCAATTTCAGAAGAAAAATTTTAAAAAAAATTGACAAATATGTAAAATTAATGTAATTTTCTCTCACAATATAATTTCAGTTTATATGTTTTATTTTCAAACTGAATTCTGCACTTCGATTTTGCTTCACTTGTTACTCATCCTGTAATTGTTTCACTCCTTTAAGTCCTCCACTGATCTCGTGCACACAGCTCCAATAAACTTGAGCCCATTTTTTTTTCCCTACATGCTCACCAATCTTCTGGTTCAAACATGGATTCCAGTAATTTCATACTTCAGTCACGTTGTTCATTTTCAAATCTGCTTCAAATAATTCTAAATTTTTAGAATCTCCATCCCCTCATTTTGTTTCACATTTTCCCAAACCATCTATTTCTACACTATTTATGTACCCTCTATTTATTTCATAGATAATGTTTCTATCCATTACTTGACTCAAGCTCTGTTTCTTCACAAGTCGTGATTTCATCGAGTTTGTGTGCCTTGTTGTAGTAGTGGAATTTTCCTCTCATGCGCTGGTCAAACTTAAAAGACTATTTTCCATGTGCTTGCATCACTAAACCAAATTATTAGCTTGTCCAAATCTGCATATCAAATATCAACTTTATCAAGCCATGGCTTTAGTGTCCACACAAAGAATTTAGCCACAAAGAAGAAGATATCTAAGACAAAGATCTCTATAAGGCATAAAGACAAATAGAAGATCATATTGAGCAGTGCAGCAGGTTCAAATGGCCTAATGGCCTATTCCTGATCCTAGATTTTATATTCCACAAATCTCAAATTGAATAATTTTTAAAAATGAAAAGACTTGCATTTATATAGCGTCTTTCATGACCAGTGGACATCCTAAAGCACATGCTAGCTTGAACCCATCTATGGTCAGATGAGAACTTAAGTAGAAGAATACGTTACAGTTAATGTAACAAGCAGGGTATATATACATTGCATCCAATGGTTTTTATTCTGTTTATATCACATTTTATGTAACGAAAATGGTACAAGTCAGACATAAATTAAATATTGTGAAATAAACCAAGATACAAATTGCAGAGTAAGTTATGATGTCATTTCAAGAAATATGAAAAATCTTTAGTGATAATGGTGTTAACATAAGAACTATAAGCTATAAACTGTATTGATATATTTTCACTAACTGCTCTTTGAGATTAGATTTGTACATAAAGTTTTAGAAAGGAAATTACTAGTAAAAAGATTTCCATCTTTATTTAACTTTAGTTTGCTTTTAAATTTGCAGGCTCAACTTCAACATCCCCAGTAGATTGCTTGGCATATGATTATGTGGGTTGTCACTGTAATTATAGCTTTTAGTTATAACTTACAAATTCTCAGGAAGTAATTTCCAGAAATCCTTTGAGCTATCTTGAGCTGCACAGTTATACCATAAAATGTACATTTACAAAAGTTGAAGATGGTTTGTCTGGAATTCTCCCAAAGCAGTTGGCAAACTCATGTGACTGTCCTGGTTCAGATGTCCTGCTAACCATTTCCTTTTTGAAACCAACTCATAAGTAGATGTAAAATTAATTAATTTAAAATTAATTTGTTCCTCTACTATTTCTAAAATCTCTCTTTACTGGTAGGTTTACTTGCTTGACCAATATCTGAGGCTTACTTTGTAATTGAGGCTTGGTAATGAACAAGATTTAAGACAGTAAAGGGTTAGATTTGAGCAGAATGATGCTGGTCAATAGTCTGGCAGGAGAAGATTTGCTGTATAAATGAAGATGAATCAATTATTCTTAAATATTTTAGAAGATTCAACCACTGAATACTTATGATAATACTGTTTTCAATTTGAATATAGCTACATATAAATCTATTCACACTAATTCCACAAAGCTGCAGGTATTGCTCTACTCTACAGATGATTTGAACAGTTATATGCATGTACCCTACTGGTACATCTAAAGGTGAAAAATAAATTGTATTGTGGAAAAACATGCACTTGGCTTCATCTTGGCTTGTGAAGCATGACTCAGCATCTCTATGGGCGTACATACACACATTGGATATCAGCAAACTAACATGCATTTACATAAATGCATATACAAGGTCTTGAACGGTTTAAAAATGTGCATTGTGTGTGCACCATAAATTATTTGAAAAATTACTGAAGAGACAAATTCTTTCCACAAGTCTAACCTATATTTTCACAGACGTGCTCTTCAGTATGTTATTCTGCAGTTTTAATTTTTTTTTTTTAGTTAAAATTGTCTAGGTGTATTATAAAGTAGTTTGATACAGTTATTACAATTGAGACAGTACTGTGACTTAAGAGTCATTGAAGCAGAAATGTTGTAATGAATAAAAATAATTGCTACAAAATATTTATATTGAAATATATCACTAGATATTTATATAGTACTTTTCATGTCTAAACACTGCAAAGCACTGTATACAGTGAAATACCTTTTGAAGTGCAGCAATTGTTATGTTAACAACAACAAAGCCATTCTGTGCCAGCAATATTCCCCAAAAAGCTATGTCTGTCATTAGCTGGTACTCATCGAGTAATAGTGTCTTCCTTCAAACAGTGGTACAGAACCTTTAATATTCACTCAAACCACCAGATCAGGCAGATGGGAACTGTGTTTAACATGTCATCTAAAAATAGACATCACTCATCTGACCTGTTCTGTAGTTTTCATCCAATTTCTATTAAGTGCAGTTGTGAGACGAAAAAAAAATCATCTACTCTGCAAGCAAAATTACTGCCAACTAATTCAAGTACCAAGTTCTGTTCATCTGTCACCACCATACTTATTTATGAACATCAGGTTTTAATCTGGCAATATACAATTTTTAAAGTTCTCATTATTTCACATCTCCATGGTCTTAATCCTCGCCATCTCTGTAACCTCCTTGTGCTCTACAATCCTCCAAGGTCATTGTGCTCATCCAATTTTGACATCCTATACATTCCTGATTTTCACCATTTTTACTACTGGTGTCTGTGCCTTCAGGTGCCTAGGCCTCATGGTTTTGGGAATAGTCTATTAGGCTGGATATACAATTGGCTATTTAACAGAAAACCAGATGTTTGGATAATTGGGTATATTTTCAGGTTTCAAACTGGAACTAATGGAATACCACAAATATTAACGTTGGAGCCTCAACTATTTTCTAACTGTATTAATCACTTGGCTGAAAGAACCAATTATTTTGCAGCCTAACTGCTTAGATTACAAAGCAAGTTAGGAAAGCAAATTGTGAGGAGGACTCTAAGAATCTGTAAAGGGATATAGGTAGCTTTGAAAAAAAAAGTAACAGATGGAGAATAAAGATTAATACGACATTGTCCATTTTGGCAGGAAGAATATAAAAGCAAATGAATTAAATGGTAAGGGACGGCTGAATGTAGTAGGACATAGGGACATTATATATCCTGTGTCCTTGTATGTGAACCATAAAAAGTTAGCATGATAGCAAGTAACGGGAGGGAGAATGAAGTAAAGTACAGAAGTCTTACTACAACTCTTCAAGACACTAGTGAGACCACAGCTGGACTACTGCAGAAAGTTTGTTCTCCTTAATTAAGGAGGGATATAATTGCACTGGAGGCTTGGTTCAGAGAGGGTTTACTAAGTTGATGTGCGAGATGCAGAGCTCGTTTTATGAGGGAAGGTTGAGCAGACTAAGCCTATACTCATGAGAGTTCAGTGGAATGAGCGGTGATCTAATTAAAGCAGGGGTTTGACTTAGTAGGCTCAAAGAGAATGTTTCCCCTCATAGGGTTCCAGAATTAAGGGCTCAGTTTAAAACAGAGATTAGGAAGAATTTCTTCTCTCAGAAGTTTGTTAATCTTTGGAATTCTTTATGGCAGACAGCAGCAGGAATTGGGTTTGTTAATATATTTGAAGCTGTTTTAGACACAGACTTTTGAGGTTGTTAATGGTTGGCTATGTTGTTCGAGATAAACAGATGATTGAAAACTGAGAGTATACACTAGGTTAATTGTTTTTAGTATGCTGAAAAGAGTCAGTTAGGACACTCAGTAGGTAAGGAGGTACTGATCCGTCATGCATCATTATCAAGGAAAACATCTGTCTTGTTGCTTCGTAGTGCACTCTCTGGTCTGGATCCATTTGCAAAGTTATTGTGAGGGAGTACGAAGGGAGAAGGGCAGAAGAGTGGAGTTAAAGCCACAGTCAGATCAGACATGAGCACATTGAACAGCAGAGCAATCTCAAAGGTCATACCAGCTCCTAGCCTTATGTTTTCAAACCCTGAAGTTCCTTGTTTAAATGTAGATGCCTCTCTTTCCTCTTTTAAGATGCTCCTTTAAAAATTCTTCTTTGACCAAGCTTTCGGTCACCTGTTATAGCTCCTGTTGTGGATTAGTGTGAAATTTTGTTTGATAGCAGTCCTCTGAAGCACCTTGCAAGAATTTCCTCAAGGCGCTATATAAATGCAAGCTGTTGATATCATCTATGGTTATATTAAACAATTCCAGTTCAAATTTCTAATGCCATTTTACCACTTCTGAGGCTAATAGTTGATGTGTTTCTTTAAGTAATTTTGCTTGTCTTACAGAATTAGGTTACCTCAAGCATGTAAATTCCAATTCATTGAAATTATCACTATGTTTTATCATCAACTCTTTTATACATTCATTGTACATCAATGCTTATAAAAGGTTCAATCTATCAACCACAACACTCATTTATTTTTACTTTGACTATTTTGAGTACACAGACATACAAAATGAGGTATTATACAATTATATACATCAAACTTAATTAAATAATACATTTAAATGTGGCACAAATTCAACATTAGAGAAGGCATTCTTAGGGAAAAGCCATACTAAGCAATTTAGCTTCTTGATGTGTATATACACCACTAACAGAAAGCTAGTCACAAATATGTTGCTAGTTATTCCACTCACTTTGTGAAGAACCCACTGGAGACATTGCTGGTGGTGAGAGGATGTTCACTTGATTAAGATCCATAGAATGCTTTCTAGACAGGCTAACACTTTTGTTTGGAGGAGGAGGGGGAGTTGTGGATTTCAGGTGGCCACTTGATTGCAATGGACTAAACACATTTCCTAAAATAGAGCATGAACATATTTTAGTTCACTATTCTATTTTTAAATTAAATTTACCATTAAGCTCTGGGCAAACGGATCGTCTTAATATCCCAAGCCCCACATTTTCTTTCGTCCCTCTCTTGCTCATCCTAAAGACAACAGGTACAACATTCTCCACAAGAAAACAGATGGACCCATTTTCTAGTCCTTGTCAATCTCTCTCCCTATTTTCTACATTGCTAACATTTTGAGGCAAAGGAAAACTTACAAGCAGAATAGTCTGCTTCATCCAACCAATCTGTTCCTTTACTGATTAATTACCAACTTAGTTTCTCAACTTTTGACTTACCAATATATCCCTTTTTTTCCAAAACACAAAACAAACACCTCCAGAATACAAGTGACAGCATCATATAGTCACTTATTCTTTTTTCAAAGAAGAAATCAGCTTTGTCTTAATGCAATCAGAAAATCCTTGACAGCTCACTCAAATTGATAACGTATATTAAGTAGATTATTTATCACATTAATTGCAAACAATGTCAAATCTTGAAGAGTTTTTCTCTTTAATTTTTAGAGTTTCAAGCACACAACTGTAGTAATCTAACAAGTTGGTCCAATGAGGCATGATTGAGCAATTAGCAAGACAGCTCATTTAAAAGCAACAGCCCTGTTTTGATCTTTGAATATATCAATGGTGTGACTATCTTTGTATTTCTGGGTCCTGAAGAACAGCTTTATGCTGACTCAAAAGGCATTTACCTAATCAGACAACATCATTTTCCATGACTGTTTGCGACATGCCAAGTAGGATTGAAGATACAACAGCATTCTACCAACGCAGAAATGTAATTATTTTCATATATTGCATTTGTCTGGAGAATTTTAACAACAATGTTACAACTGGATAAAAGCTCAAATTTTATTTGCACTAATTACTTGTTGTTAACTCAATCCCATTACCATTTTAAAGTAATCACATTTATAGGATTCTTGCTTTACTAGACAAAGAGACTAGCCAAAAAGTGTTTGGCAATGTAAGAAAATTATTTGTATGTCTTTCAAGAATATCTTTCAATTACTGGTCTTCATCTTATTGCTGAGAACGTTCAACATTTTTATTTGATTTGTAAAGCCAATATATTTATTTTATCTACACTAAGAGCTATTATCATTTGGATTTGAGGGTGCCTTAATTAAAATGCAATTAAAACAGAAAGGATTGGCATGAGAAACAGAATGGACATTGGCACAAGAAAGCAGAAATGCCATGATGAAATAATAAGGCCAGTATAGAATAGTACCTTAATCCCAAGAAGCCACAACAATGTTACATTTTGATAATAAATCTTTGCTAGATGTTTCAGGTCCATTCTTCTGAAGAGTAATCATCTTCACTTGTGAATCAACATAGACATAATCAGAGATGATTGAAGTTGCAATACAAACAATCATAAAAACGTTTACCTGAAGAACTGTTACTGGCGCCACTAGGGAGTTTTATGGGTGGCGGTCGGTGCTTCACACCCTTCCCCAGTATAGAAGACTGGACAGATCCAGAAATTTCTTCAGATTGCTGCAAAAAAATAATAACATGGCTAATAACTTTGGAAGCAAAAACAAGAAGGCAGATTACTACCTAAATGGCTGTAAATTGGGAGAGGGGAGTGTGCAGAAGGACCTGGGTTTCCTTGTGCACCAGTTGCTGAAGGTAAGCATGCAGGTGCAGCAAGTGGTAAAGAAGGCAAACGATATGTTGGCCTTCATTTCGAGAGGTTTTGAGTACAGGAGCAGGGATGTATTGTTGCAGGTGTACAAGGCCTTAGGCCACACCCGGAATATTATGTGCAGTTCTGGTCTCCTTTTCTGAGGAAGGATGCTCTTGCTCTTGAGGGAGTGCAGTGAAGGTTTACCAGGCTGATTCTGGGGAAGGCGGGGCTGACATATGAGGAGAGATTGACTAGGTGAGAATTGTTTTCACTGGAGTTCAGATGAATGAAGGGAGATCTCACAGAGATTTATAAAGTTCCAACAGGAGTAGACAGGGTAGTTGCACGGAGGATGTTCCCAATGCTGGGTGCGTCCAGAACCAGGGGTCACAGTCTGAGGATTCAGGGTAGATCATTTAGGACGGAGATGAGGAGACATTTCTTCACCCAAAGAGTGGTGAGTCTGTGGAATTCATTATCACAGGAAGTAATTGATGCCAAAACAACGCATGTATTCAAGAGGCGGCTAGATATAGCACTTGGGGTGAATGGGATGAAAGGTTACGGGGAGAAAGCAGGATAAGGTTAATGAGTTGGACAATCACCCATGATTGTGATGAATGGCGCAGCAGGCTCAAAGGGCCAATGGCCTCCTCCTGCTCTTATCTTCCGTGTTTCTATAAAATTGCTGACTGACAGTAACACAATTACTTTGGTGTATTAATCAACATTAAAAAGAGCTGTCTTTTCAAGATCAAATCAGTAGCTATAAATAAATATTAGTTTGTTTTAAAGGGAAAAGGTACCATTTTAGGGTCGAAATTAGGCGCAGTAAAGGTTGCATAGCTTCACAGAGACTTATACCAGAGACAGGCATAATTATTTTATGCTCAAATTCAACTTTGCTTAGAAACCACAAAGATTTTTGAAGGTGAGGTTCTGTTACACAAAATAATATAAAGAAAAACTAACTTTAATTAGAATTTCACTAAGATGAACCATCCAAAAAAGTAATAATGCTGAATTCAAACCAAATATAAATTCACACATTAAAACTGAAAAACATACAATGTAAACTCACCTCAATTTCTTTCCCAGGAGACAAGTGACTCTGGCTCACTGAGCCAGCTGAATTGTGAGAAATCTTCACTGGGCACTTGGTATCCTGCTGCAAAACCTCAAAATACTGCCTTACAAATCTGCAGATTAACAAGATGGGTTTTAATCACCAAACCCTTATTATGAAAACTATAATATACAATATGTAGAGAAGGACTGAAAAATTCAGGGCACTCACCTGTCAGCTTCTGCTTTTGTACCTATAGGGAACCTGTTGTACAAAACAACGTTTTTCAGTTTGGATTTGTGGAACCATGATTCAAATGCAAACACACTTCTGTAAGTTTGACATGATCAACTCTGACTTAGAATGCTATGGGTTCAAGCCCTAGTTCAGACGTGTTCATAGTCACCAGCCGAGAAGTAGTGAGGTGCCATCTTTTAATAGAATGTGAAGCTGAGAATTCATATGGGAATCAGGTGGATTTAAAAGAACCGATGGATATTTGAGGAATAGTGAAGTTAGTTCCTGGTAAACATTTTTCCCTCAAATACTAAAAAGAGAGAGTCATTCATTTTGTGCATGTGGAACAAATTGACTGCTGACCCAGTCTAGGACAGAAGTGGTGGAATTTCAAAAATACAGTTGATTAACTCGAATACATTTTGGACTTTTCTGAAAGGTTTCATAAACCCAAGCTTATAAGTTTCTATATTTTAACATGATATATAGTAACTACAAAGTATTTTTGCTTTGTCATATAACCAGAATGACGCTTTGATCATTTTTAATCTCACACCTCTGGCAATTCTTTGTGACATCATAAAGCGCAACAGTTTCAGAACAAAATGATAAATTGCATTTTCTGGCTGAATAATTTTCTAACCTGAAACAGTTTAAAAGGAATCATTAGGGTAAATATCAAGCCTCCCTCCTAACATTTAAAACTATTGCTTAGAGGCAGTGGACAGCATTCAGTTTATAGCTTTCTCATGTGGCAATGTAGACAACAGTCAAGGATGGGAAGGGAGAGGTGACAGAAGAGGATAAGAAGGCAATGGTTGTTTGCGATGGTTGGGGACTGGAGTACCTGTTAAAGAAGGAATGACCGGCAGGGTTAAGTCAGGGTCACTCAGATAGGAGAAACAAAAGGAAGATTCTCAGGGTGAAGATTTAGTCAGCAATGAGCAGTACCAATAATGCAGAAAAGCAGGTGGGGAAATTTGAATCTGTCCCCTCTCTTCCTCCTTGCTTTTCTTTTTAATACTGTAAGGCTTTCCCATTCATAACAACTCCATTTTTTGAAACAATAATCATTGCCACCAAAAGCAGTTCCTGTTGCAATACTTTTAGAAATATTCAAAATGCCCAAGTAGCATAAAACTGGCTCCCACTGCTAACACTGGGACCCCTGAAGACCAAAACCAAATGAACCTAAGGTGGTGGTACCATGAACAGCACATTGTTTTGTCGGTCCTTAAGTTCCAAGGCAACCACAGGCTAAACCTTGAAGGTGAGAGATCTTCAAGGTAAGTATAGATAGTGAGGCTTTAAACATTACATTCGAGCCTGCCAGAAATAATATGACATACAGACATACAAGAAATGCTGCACACAATATTTTATATTTACTACTAGTAAGTATCGCTTATGGCAAGTCAGTATATTCTGTTTTAAATTAAAATAAAGAAATATATAGGAACTTTAATCAGAACTGATGAAAAGTCACAGGCCTGAAAAATTAATGATGTCTCTCTTCACAGATGCTGCCTGATTTACTGAGTATTTCTGGACATTTGTATTTTTATTTTTGTTCGCAAGTTAAGTGTTGCTTCAGTATACTATTACAGCTCATGTGCATTAAATTACTCCTTTCACCAAACCTAATATTGTAATTATTAACAGCAGATCACTCCACAAAAGATGTTCAAACTGTAATTTCATCATTTGATTGATAGGAAATACATTAAAAACTACTCCCTAAAATTTCTTTCGACACCGTTCATTGGTGAAATTATGCTTTTGGTCGTGTCTTTTAAGAAGCACAAAAAATATTTACTCCAAAACAATTATTTTGTATTCATACAGCTTACAATTCAGTCCCAGTCCTATCTATTCTCTATCCTATGGTGCAGCAAACTTCTACTTACGGGATATGAGTTACCAAGTGTTCGTTTTCTTCCTCTGGTTTGGGGTCCTTCGTCATTTGTATCTTACCATAAAAGAGGGGATCATCTGATGACTGGTAAATTATTAACTTGGAGGCATGAACTTGTTCTGTTCCTTCCCACTCAAAAATATATTCATCCTTTGCTTCCTGAAAGGATTCAATAATTAATCCTTCTTAATGAATAAATAAAATGTAACATTAGAGAGCACAAGAACAGATGAGAAGGTAAGTTTTACCACCGATTAAATCTCTCACTAAAGGTTTTGTGGCACAGTGGGAGGCAACACACATGTAGAAGATCTGGGTCCAAGACCTACTCCAGGATGGAGGGCCAAGGAAGATGTGTTCATATTGTGGCCAAACAGGTTGAGTATCAACTGGTAAATCTTTCCAACTCTGAAGTTTTAAATATATCATTACTTTCTGGGGTCTTGGACTTTAAACTTGAGGCAAATGGGGTTTTGATTTTAGTTCCATGAAGGTGACTTGTTTTTTCAGAAAGATCAGAAAGCCATTTTTAATAGCGAGATCAAAACGGCACTTTCAAGAAATGTAACTTAATTCAACTTCAACCATGATCTTAGTGAATTGCAAAGTAGGCTTGAAGGGCTGAATGGCCTACTCCTCCTCCTATGTTCTAAAGCTTTGTATAAACTACATGGGGAGATAATTGCTGAAGTGTTTACTAGGTTGAGATTGCATGACCTATTGAAAGAGAGGCCAGGGAGTACAAACAGGTTCAGTTCAAAAGAAGGGAAAGATACATACCAGCAGAAAAGCAGCTTAGGTTTATATAAGAATTAGGAGCAGCAGCAGGCACTACAGACCCGTTAGCCTGCTCCTCCATTTAATACAATCATAGCCAATCTCATCTCTGCCTCAGGTCAACTTTCCTGCCTGTTTCCCATAATCCTTTAACCCAATATTATTTAAAAATCTGTCTGTCTATCTCCTCCTTAAATTTATTCAGTGTCGCATTGTCCACCACAGTCTGAGGTAGTGAATTCCACAGACTCACAATCCTTGAGAGTAGTAATTCCTCCTCATCTCAGTTTTAAATCTGCCATTCCTTAACGTAAAACTATGACTACTCATTTTAGATTGCCTCACAAGGGAAAATATCCACTCTGTCTACTTTGTCAATCCTCTTTAGCATGTTATTTAAATTATTCTTCAAAACTCAAGCTAGTATAGGCCTAAACCGCTAACTCTCTTCACAAAACATGCCTCTCTGGAATCAATCTAGTGGACCTTCACTGAACAGCAATTACATTCCTCCTCAAGTAAGGCGACCAAAACTGTATGCAGTACTTCAGATGCCGTCTCACGCCTTGTATGGTTGCAACAAAACCTCCCTACTTTTATACACCATTCCTTTAGCAAATACCAAACGTCTATTTGCCCTCCATATTTCCTGCTGTACCTGCATACTAGCTTTCTGTCATTCATGCATGAGGACACCTAGACTCTGTATCAAAGCATTTTGCAGTTTTTCTCCATTTAGATAACTGGCATTTTTATTCTTCCAACCAAAATGGATAACCTCACATTTTTCAAGTTAAATTCCATTTGCCAAATTTTGTCCTATTCGTCTAACTTATTCATTTGTAAATTTCTTACCTTTTCAGTGCAACTTAACTTTTTTTGCCTATTTTAGCATCATCTGCAAATTTGGTAATAGTACATTCTATCCTTACATCCAAGTCAAAACTGCACACAATGTTCTAGGTGCCGCCTCATGAAGGTCTGTATTTTGTTAAAAACTGAAATAACTGTGAATGCTGTATATCAAAGGAAAAGCTCAGCATGTCTGGCAGCATCTGTGAAGAGAAATCAGAGTTACCACTTCGGGTCCAGTGGACCCAAAATGTTAACTCTGATTTCTCTTCACAGATGCTGCCAGACCCCTGTACTTGGTACTCCAAGACTGAATTCTCAGCGGTCATTGTGCAACTAAGTAAAGTTACACAACTCAATAACCATAGAGGAAAAAAAGAAGTCAACTCATGTAATCAATGTAAACTAATGTAATCAATTAATAAATCTATTAACAGATCAAACCAATTCATAAGTCAGTCAACAAATAATCAAGCTTAAACAATTATGTGTCACCTTCTGGAACTGAACACTGTCAAATTAAGTCTAAAACATAACAAGTAATTTTTTCAGAATATTTATCCTAGTACTGAGACTTAAGTGCCACATTGTCTCAGCCTTTCAAACTCCACCAAATTGTTGCTTCTCCATCAGAAATATAGGAATAAGTATAGTGTTCATTTTTGCATATCCTCTACAAGAATGGTAGGTCACAACTTTTTAGGGACAGAATTAATTCATAAATATAGCTATCAGCATTTGAAACAGAGACTTGTATTGAATAAGAATATTTAAACACTGCTGCCCATCACATCTCCTCACCACAATACGCCTTACCATATATACTTCTTTTGAGCTCATTCTTCCATTTAAACAATCAATAAACTTAAACCAGTTGTCCAACAGAATAGTTTCAAAAATATTACAATTGAAATCATCAGCTTCTGTAAGATGGTCAAATTATTTTCGTAAGTAACCAAGACCATTACCAAATAAAATGCCTTGAACCTCAATTATAAAGATGTTTGTAACCACCCCTCATTTTTTTATAATGTGTGTATTTACTTCAAATTTGTAATTTCATTTTTATAATTAAAAAATCGTGAATAAAATAATTCCAAATATTTTCACTTTCAAAACATCCTTACAACTGAATTAGAAGAAGGCATTTCCATTTTGTCCCACATTCCCAATGTATAAATCTTTGCAATGAGAAGAACTGTAATTGGAAGTTCTGTTGGTGTCAGAACAAGTTCCACAAAGCCAAAGAATCGAGGTACATACATGAATTGGCCAGACAGCTGTTTGCAAGTCATCAGATTTGCTAGCTTTTTCCACTTTTGCATACTTTTCCACCTAAAGCAAGAGCAAAATTTGTATCCAAAATTAGTGGAAAGAAAACAGAAGAGCTGTAAGAAACCACTGCATGAATTACGTTCTTGCTGCCACCACAAAATTTGAAAATGTTAAAACTCATTCAAAAGCTGTATTTACAGCTGATAAACTACACAAAGAGGGCCATCAAACTGTATGCAAGTTAATGACACAGGCTCAATTTCCCAGATGTCTACTTAAAGGCTGGTTTTGTGGGCTACAAAAAGGCTGAAATTCCTATGAAAACTGCAAAACTGAACAAAGGACTATTGTATATCAATAGTACATTGTACATCAATAAGGGACTCAAAGATTTTGTTGTCAGACTCAGGTAATTTGTTGCATGGATTAGATTATGAAAATTCAATTTTATAGCATTCAGCTATCTGACTTTTGCAGAGTTTAAATTTTAATATTCAACAACAGCCAAGTTGGGGAGAAAGTTGACTCTGAAGCAGTCAACATAAAATAGAGAGGAAGTTGTGTAGTGGTAACATCATCAAACTAGTCATGCAGAACCACAGTTTAATGTTTTAGGGACACAAGTTCAAATTCCACTAAGGCAGATGGTGAAATTTGAATTCAATAATATCTGGAATAAAGAGCTAGCCTAGCAGCAACCATGTAGCCACTGTCAACTGTCATATAAACTCAGCTTACAGCAATAATGTTGACTCTTAGCTGCCCTCTGAGAAATTAGGGATGAGCCATAAAACCCATGGGAACTACTTGTTAGATATCAGAAGGTACTGAATACATGGGCTTTCTTGTTGGTAGCTGAACTTGTTGGAACGGGGGATAATGACTAACAGAAATCTTAAATGTCTTTACAGTTCAATTATTACTAATAATGTGTAATGGCTTCTCAAAATGGCTCTTCTTTGTTTCGGATGATAGTTTCAACATCTCGAACAACAAAGTGCTGGTTTGTTCTTAGATGGTGTTACAGAATTCCACAAATAGTAGAGGTGTACATTTTTGGTGTAGGAAATGAGTTAGTGTCATCTGACCATTATAATTGACAGTGCTATAATTGGTACACTAAACTTATCTTTATTTGTATTTCTACTGTAACATTATAGAGATATAAACATTTGATCAATATTAATAATATAAAGCTTGATCAGTAACATCTTTTCACAACTTTAGACATCTATGCAATAGGACAGGCAATGGCCTGGCGGTATTATCGCTAGACTATTAATCCAGAGACCCAGGAAATGTTCTGGGGGCCTGGATTTGAATGCCGCCTTGGCAGATGGTGGAATTTGAATTCAATAATAATCTGGAATAAAGAGTCTAATGATGACCATGAAATGATTGCCAATTGTCAGGAAAAACCCATCTGGTTCACCAATGTCCTTTGGGGAAGGAAATCTGCCACTCTTACCTGGTCTGGCCTACATGTGACTCCAGATCCACAGCAATGTAGTTGACTTTTAACTGACCTCCGGGTAATTAGGGATGGGCAATAAATGCTGGTCCAGCTACTGATGCCCACATCCCATGAATGAATGAATAAATAAAAAAAAACACACTTTCTAGTAGAGGAGTGCTACCAACTCTTGAAAAAGCCCACAAAAAGTTTTTGGGTGAAAAAGCAACACAGTCTACCTAATGATGACTACTATTCTGTGACCTTATGTCAAGCACAACAAATTACATCTTTTTATCTTGCACATCACACCAGATTATGTATGAACCACAAATTACCAGCCATGAAAATTGATAATAGTATAGTGCCATCAATAAGGCATCTCAAACCTTATGAACCTCAGGTATGATAGTGTATATCTCTAACTAATGAAATTAAAAGTAGAGAAAGGAACAGATCCAGCAGTGATGAAGGCAACAGGTGGAATTAGAGCCGGAATAAAGAATACATCAAAAAAGAGAAAGGACACAAAAATATCCATATATGCATATTCAGAAAACCTCTAGGAACAGTTTACTACCTGAGAGATTGATATTGTAGTTTCATTGTTTTCTTTATAGAACTCCAATGTTGGTTAATGCGTCAGGGCCCATTACAGGGGTCTTTACAGCATGAATTTCCAATCTTAAAATGGCTATAGACAGATGCAACCCCAACAATGTAAATAGTACACAATGCTGTTTTTTTTTTCCTGTTTTGTCAAAGCTAATGGCAAGTTCTCTGGCAATCTGTGGTGAAGTAGCTCTTTACCACAAGATGCTGTTTTGTTTGATTTTGTTTATACACTATTAATAGCATGTGTAGTGAACCTTTTCCCACTGATTTTTGGGTAATTACTGCACAAAGGAAGCACACTTACATCAATTTCAGATGGCACTGTGAGCTGGCATGGATTTTGCTTCCACATATCAACACACTTTAAAAAAAGGGAAAATATTTCTTATTAGAAGTGTGTGTAACAAAAAACAACAAATGAACACAAACATTTATTTTTGAAAATAAAAAAGCAACATACACTTCCAGCTTTTGAAATTTTAAGGTCAATGTGTGGTGCTGGCTTTCTTTCTTTTCTTCTTTGTAGATAATCAAACAGTTTAAGATGAGGTGGTGGTGTGAATTGGGCTATCTCCTGCTGTCTGTTCAGTGCTGGCCGAGAATACCGCTTCATACACCTAGTGAAAGTAGCCACAATCGACACATATGATGATTCAAATTAACAACCAGTGAAGAGTTTAAAAACATATTGTACTATACTATGCCACATATGCGAGCAGAATTACAGATTACTGCAGTCAGAAACTTCTTGCAAATTTGTGCAAATTATCAATGACAGTAAGTCTTGCTGTCTAGATACAATCAGTTAGCTTTACTGGTCAACTGTTGCAGCAATTGGTTGTCGATAATCAAAAAATTAAAGCATAAATTTGTCTTTATATAAAACGTTAGATAAATCTCTAGTCCAAGCAGAATTTCAAATTATGCTGAGTTTTGAAAAAATATATTTTCATAGTCAGACAGCTTTAAATTGGAGTAAAAGAGAGGTTTTGAAGGCTGCAGCATATTAAAATAAAACTTTACTACATGATAGTTATCTAACACCCACCTTTTCATTGGCCTAGTATTCATCTTTTGTTTATTGTAGAGAAGTCTGTTGGTTGTGCATGTTACAGTGAAGGAAGGGTCTAGGCAAAGAGGCTCTGATGTATGGAGCACCAATTGGCTTTCAAGGACAAGTTTATCATCCTGTAACATGAAAATGATCAATTTCACATAACATAGTTGTACCTGTATTGATTTTAGCTTAAACATCGCATTACGCTGACTAATTAATTTTTCAGTAAAGTGGCTGCACCGAACAAGTGCATCGTTTTACCGGAGGGAAGTCCTAGAAACTGCATTCAGATTTTGTTTCACAGCATTCAGGAACAATAATTATATACAAAAGGTTATAAAATTAATACTTCTATTAAATCACTTCTATGATAGAGAAACTTTGAGTTAGATTCTGCACAATATACCTGTGTCCATTTGTGGTTGTCACTTGTTATGGCATGTACATCACAAATCAATGTCTGCAAAAAAAATATAAAGTTTGAAAACACCCATATTTCACAGGTTAGGAAATTATATAAGTTCAAGATGGGCATCAGGCAGGCAAGCTGAACATAACATTAAAACTAATATAAAAGCATGATAAAAACTGACTGACAATAACCTTATGCAAATTAAGATAAATAATACCACACTAAGTTAAGCATTTTAAGCTTTTGTTCACTTTGACTTACAGTTAGGCTTGAGAAAAATTCATAAATTGTCATTATCTTATTTCTATTTGAGAACTGATTACATTTGTGCAGCGACCTCACATCTGTATTTCATCTGACTGCAATGAACCAATAACAATATTACAAGCTGTGGCATGCTGGCACAGCATAAGCATAAGAACTGGATGGGGTACTTTTAGAAATTCATTCTTGGGATATTGTCCTATTGCCTATCTACAGTTGTCCTTGAGGAAAAGGCATTGAGCTGCCTTCTCAACTGCTGCAGTTCATTTGGTGCAATTATATCCCCTTTGCTCTTAGCAAGGGAGATCCAGGACTTTTGACCCAGTGACACTGAAGCTATATTGGTATATTTCCAAGTCAGGATGAGGGGGTGGCAGGGAGAGAAAGGTCTAGGTGTTGGTATTCCCATGCATTTGTTGTCATTCTTCTAGATGGTGGTTGAGTGTTTGAATTGTGCTGTCTAAGGATCCTTCAGCAACATCCGAGACTGGAAGGTTTCAGGTATAAGCAGAGACTGGATAGGCTGGGATTTTTTCCCTGGAGCATAGGAGGCTGAGGGGTGATGTTATAGAGGTTTATAAAATCATGAGGGGCTTGGATAAGGTGAATAACCGAGGTTTTTTCCCTTGGGAGTGGAGTCCAAAGCTAAAGGGCGTAGGTTTAAAGTGAGAGGGGATAGATTTGAAAGGGAAGCGAGGGGCAAAATTTTCATACAGAGGGTGGTGCGTATATGGAACGAACTGCCAGAGGAAGTGATAGAGGTGGGTACAATCATAACATTAAAAGACATTTGGACAGGTACATGGGTAGAGGGATATGGGCCAAACAGAGCAAATGGGACTAATTCAGTTTAAGAAACTTGGTCGTCATGGACAAGTTGGGCTGAAGGGTCTGTTTCTGTTCTATGTGACTCTATAAACCTATAACACAACTGAAATACAGAGTAAATCCATACTGCAGATTTTGCTATAATCTTCAACTAATACTATTTAAAGGACTATTTGAAAACTCATAGGGCAGAACATGAACTACCACAGCTTAACATATCATGATTAAGTAGTAGTGAGGTTCAATAACTGGCCATAGTTTTCTGGGATCTTTAGGGTAATGAGAGAAAAAAAAATCATTTTTGGATTAACCTATCTAGCAAAGTGTGTACACAAAAAATCTGCTTCAGTTCTACCCCCTGAAATAGCTACTGTATACTCGCAGTGTTTCAGAATATTCCAGCACAAAAAAAATGCCTACTGCAAAGACAGACAAATAAAGGGTGGATTTCAAGAACTATTTTGGTATGTCATAATACTAACTTCATGAAAAGTGGTGTGTGAGATATCATTGTGAGGTGCAGGGAACATTGCACTTAACATAAGATAATCTATTACCTGCATTGTGGGCCGAAGCAATATATGTCGGCTTTGGTATGTAGGTGCTTTCACGTGGCCAGACTGCCGATAATCTCGTACTTCAGCTACGACACATCCGCAGTGGAAAATGTTCACCTAACAGGAAAATAAAATTTTAACTGAATAAAAATGGTCAACATTCATTAAACAAATTGGTGGGAGTTTTATGTCGAAAACAGCTTCCAAGGAAGTCGGATCAAATGACTTGAAGAAATCAATGCATGGGTTTTGTTTTAGAAATAATAGCAAGGTTATTAGAACTCATCATGATCAAACATTAAGTCAGACAACCTTTTCCAACAACTATGTATGCACAAACATAGAAAGCAGGAAGTTGCTCACTGTGTTGACCAGCTCCCTCTGAAGTTTCACTTTGATATTATCATGCCAAGAGATACAATGTTCAAAAACATGAAATGATGTAAAATATTGATATTATCAATATCCACTAATTAAGCCAGAAGAAGTTAGGAATTGTCCAGAAACAGAATTTTTAAATGATGTGCTTAGTCTTAATAATTGCCAAGCAATCTTTTCAGAATTGAACATTTTCTTACAACGAAGATTTGAAAACCACCATGCAATTATTTTCTTTGTCCCATCTCTCCTTCAATTCCATTTTTTAAAAATTCCCTTTAGGTCGTCATCAACACTGCATCAACAATTATAACTACAGATCCTGGTTTCCATAGTGTGTCAACTTTGTTCACAAAGGACACAGATTATCTAGCAAAGGCAGCATGCTGTTTTGGATTTCTAATGATGAGCTGTTCCAACATAAAAGTCCATAAAAAGTCTGTGGGGATCTATTAGGACAATGAGTGTCTGGAACCATTTGCCAATCAAGGACCATGACATTTGGGTTCACATCTTCAAGGCATTCCAAATCCTTAGCTAGCACTGGAATCAATGATGCACTTAGTCGAAGGAAGGTCCTTTGTCATTCAAAGTTATGCCATTAAAGGGCAGATAAAACAACCAGCAATTATTTGGTAGGCATTGATTCTTTTAACTCAGAAACTGTCTTTGCATTCAAGGTGCAAGTGAGGTTTTAGAGATTAAATCTTTATGTTAAATACTTACATATATTGGTGTAGAATTTGCCAGATTATCAGACTGTAATTTCTGAAAGGACTACAACAATAACTTCATTATCTGAAACCTGGCCTGTGCCTGTTCCTATTTGACCCTGTCATTCTTCTTGCTCAACCAACTTGGCCTCTGAGCTCTTTGCGTAACCTAGCAACCATCACCAACTGTCAGACTGCTTCTATATCCACTCCAGTTTAAGCTCTAATCAGCTGCTCACAACATGGTGTTCTCTTTGTGCTTAACCGCCACATACGCACCCTCCGTTGTCCTACTACAATGAACCCACAGGTGCCAGTGGCCAGTCTGCCAACCTGACCGTCAATGGGTCACAGTTCAGGTTGTTAAGTGAGCAATTAATTCCCCATAATTTTTTTTTGTGCAGGCTGGTGACTGGTGTAGGGGGTGCATGGAAACTGCTATCCATAGCTCACCACTACCCTCAATGCTAAAGCCCCCACCCCCAAACCTGACCACCCATGCCCAGAGTCTATCTGCCAATTTGGCTTTGGTGAGAGATCAACACACATCTCAAATTCAACATTCAGCCCTGTATACCTCCTCATTACTGAAGTTCAGCACTGGCAGTGCCCACAGCTGGCTACTGGAGAGCTGCCAGTCTTAGACTTAGGTTCTCCCACCCCAGGCTTTTAACCAAGTCGAGGGTAGGGAGAAGGAGCAGATTCTCTGGCCCACATCAGCTCATGGACTGGGTTTGTCTCAAAGGAGCAGAACTCAAAATTCTAACCTCCTAATATCCCTTCACCGTCAGGCCTTCTTTGCCACTGAAAGGAACTATTTTGGGACTGACTACAGTTTTAGGTTTGGGGTTATTACAGGTTTAGAATGGAATCTTTGTGGGCAAATCAGATATCAAACTGGTTGGATTGCCCAGAAAGCTTTGTTCAAAAGTGTCATCAAAAACCTAAGAGATCCAGGCAGAAGACCTACTTCACAAAACACACTTTCACCACATAACAGGGAACTTTCTAATAACCCTCCACAAAGCACTGCACTGGAATTGTTTGGATTAATTTGATTACATCGTTTCTTTGGTATGTGTTTTATCTCACCTGAGATTTTTCCAAAAGGTCTACAAGAATTGGTGGTAGTTCCTCTGCATCCAAGTATTCTAGTAACTCTCCCTCCTCATAAGGCAATCGGATTGTTTCCGAATCTGAAGTTAGCAAAGATTTAAAACTAAATTTCAATATAAAAATAAACAACTCAGAACATCTCTTTTTACACAAACAGGCAACAGAATATTCTCCAACAACTGCATCTAGATATTTTTCTATATCTGCAATAAAATTGATGAAAGGCAGCGTCTGTAATAGTAAAGGCACAAAAAAAACTCCAAGGATATTTATAAAACTTACATAATTAACAGTCTGCAAGAATCAAACAATCATACCTGATCCATTTTTCCCCCTGAGCATTAGGGAGTAGCCTTCATTTCCCGGATATAGATTTATTACAAGACATGACACCCTTTCTTGCATAACAAGTTTTTCCAACAGGTTAACATTTCGTCTTAATTTCTGAGAATTAATCAGAAATATATATTTTGAATAAATATATCAAATTCAGTTCAATGGCAATTATCTGAAAATCACCACATACATTATGGAATTAACACACTCTCCACAAAAGTGGTGCAGCTACTTGTAAATATTGAAGTTAACATTCCATCCTATAGTGGCACTAAAATAAATAAAGGTAACAAATGCTGATAGAAAAATGCTTACAGCTGTCATGTGACTCAACTATTTTTTTCCCCTTCTCTCTATGAATTCTCTATGAATTCGTTCCTGTTGCTTCCTTGAAAGGACTTGTTTCAACAATCACTGACATCTTGTCTTGTTTTTAAAAACATGTCAGCCTTGACAACAGTCTTTAACGCCTCAATCCTATTCAATTAATTCACAACTGATGTGCATGTTAATTTCGTCTATCCTCTCTGATTCCAATTCTTGGGTTTAAGTCCAACCTGTTTCAGAGGTGTGTAACCACATCTCTGAACAGATTGATTAAAATATCTCCTCCTTGATTTCCGATCTTGTAACATCCCTGCCCAACAAAACATATCAACTTCAGTTTTGAGACAGCAAGAACTGCAGATGCTGGAGTCAGAGACAACACAGTGTGGAGCTGAAGGAACACAGCAGGCCAGGCAGCATCAGAGGAACAGGAAAGTTGATG